CAGAGTAACGGCGACGCTACCCAGGCTCCACCGTCCCGAGAAAAGCTGCAATTTATTTTAAAAGATAATAAAAAAAATAGTAGGCCAACCATATACCTCAGCGGATTAAAGCGCCTGCACGCAGGCCCAGGGGCTGGGGGCTTGATCCCCCTGCCTGCCGTGCCGGCCCCGCCCCCGGGGCATGCTGAGATGGTAATTGAGATTGGCATGGTGGCTTGTGCCTGTAATCCTAGCACTTAGGAGGCTGTAAACAGGAGAATCACAATGAGTCCGATCTACTAGTGAGACCCTGAACACTCTGTAGACTCCTCCCTAAGGAAAAATACCAAAAAGAATAAAAAATAGTAAAACAAAAAAACAGAATTTCACTGAGCAACATGATAGGTCTTCAACAATGGATGTTATATTACACAGATTAAGCATACAAAGTTTGTCTAAAAAATTTAAAGGGAGAACAAAAAAATAAGCATTAACTGTTCCTTTCAATGAACCAGCAAAAATCAGCAGTACAATTAATTATCCAAGCTATCCTGTGTATATACATTTCTTTTCCCATGTCTCTTTTCTCCTTTCCCTCATCCCAGTTATTCCTTCCCTTTGAACACTTTCATTCCCATTCAGTGTGTCAATTGTACCTTTCAGATTTTATTTACTTTTCCAAAGATTCTTAACCTAGAGAGACAACACAGTGTTTACACATGCAGGCCTAATTTATTTCACTTATGGAGTATGGTCTAGTTGTATCCATTTACTTATAAAAGCTTCAGGTTTATCTTTTTTATAGCTGAGTAATACTCCATTATATAAAAATATCATCCAGGAGGGGAATAGCTGGGTTGAATGGGATCTCTAATACTAGTTTGTCTGAGGAATCTCCACACTGATTTCCACAACAGTGGAAAAGGTAGGTGAGTATTTTAATGGAAAATTGTTCACATGTTCAACAGTAGAAAGAATAATTAGCCTAGTATCCTAGCTCAGCAGTTATTTGTATTAATGCCGTGTGTCAGTCCAAAAACAATCTGATTTTACCTCCCACCTTCTACTGCCCAGATGACCTTGAGGGAACACAAAACTCAGTGTTTCATCTGAAAACAGTTGAGTGCCTATTTATAACAGATAGTAGTCCCTTTAAAATGTTATTAAAAATACATCCTTAATTTTGTATAGTCATTGCTTGATTTCTCCAGGGTACACATAAAATTATCTATTTTAATTAAATAACTCATGATTTAATCGGGACCCAAGTATGTGACCAATATGTGACTGGTTAAGATGTCATTTTATTCTACCAGTTCCCCTCCACCAGAGACCCCTCTGCCCACTTTTCTCTTTTAAGCTTACTTTCCTGAGCACTTTCTCTCACTTGAGGTTCAGCTGGTGTCTTTGTGGAGCCCAGAAGTTGGTACTCAGTAGAGGCCTAATCAGCTTCAGTCTTGATATTCTGGCAGTCAGGCAACGTGAGCAGTTGTGTTCTTCCATTACTAGGTCATCAATAATGTCCGCTTTGTCTTCCTTGGTGCTTAGGCTGGCTGTAAAGTCTTTTAGACGCAACAAGAGCCACTGAATTTTGATAATTTCTGTGCTGTGTGACATTGCTGATTTATATACTTCCCATCCCAAATATGGAATCTGTTTCTCTAGGAGCTCTCCTCTTAAGTGCAGCCATTAGGGTTCATATAGTTAAACTTAAAGGCCTGTTCTATGTGTAATTGGAGTTTAGCTGCCTTTCTTATATTACATGTGTATGTAATCTGCATTTAGTTCAAGTAAGGAGAGAAACATTCTTTTATTTCTGTTGTAAATATCAATGATACATTTGGGCTTGAATAGTTGAATAGATCTTACCACCTGAGTTGAACTGATGAAATACCTTATACTAGGTAAACAGATTGATAAATTACCAGTTCTAATGCTGTTCTTAGATTGGATCTAGGAGGAGCTGCTGTTAATAAATTTCATATTTTTTTTCTTTTGTGGCCACAATAGGTTTTGTTTCTATTTCACATTTTGTTAATAGAAATAAAACTTAGCAGGACTGGGGAGATAGCTCAGTAGAGTAAGTGCTTGTCTGACAAGCACAAGGGCCTGAGTTCAGTCCCCGATTCCGCAAAAATAAAACAAAACAAAACAAAAAAAACCTCAGTAGTTTATTTATTTGACAGTATTTTATGAACCAAGAGAGATATTCAGTAGTTTCTGTTCTTAAACCTTTTTTTTAATCACCACCTGTAAAAATTTTCTTTTACTGTAACAAATTCATTCTTACTAGTAGTTCTACCTACTTTCTTTTTCTTTTCTTTTTTTTTTTTTTTTTTTAAAGGAATGAAAATTTTATTTTGCTCACAGTTACTGGAGGTTTCAGTCCACAGTTAGGTGGATCCAAGGCAGAGCAGCGCAGGGAAGAGGGCAACAGTTCTTGATGGCAGAGAAGAGCAAGAGCAAGATGGGCTAGTAGTGGCAACACTGGCAAGAGGGAGGAAGTCTTTCCCTTCCCTATCTACCCCAGGCTGGGTATGGCATTCACACCCATAATCCCAGCTTTGATCATGAATTAATCTCAAACTCTTGAAGTCCCCACTTCATGACTACCTGAGGCATTGGGGGGATATCTACCTACCTTCAATGAACAAATCTTCATGAAGGCATAAAAATTCACAAATCATTATAAGACCTGGGTAACATTCTTTGGTTTTTGTTCATAAATTTGCTATAAATTGAATATTTCTGGGTGCTGCAAACATTCAAGAAATATGTTAAATGTTCTATGGGTTACTTAAGAGTTCAGCATTTTAGGTTTTTAAAAGATACAAAACACACATGAAACAATAAGCTTCATTAGTATTAAAATGAGTAACATCACTGAAGATAGTCTTTTGTTACATGAGATAAGTTGTTTTACTGTTTGCTATTTTTGTTTAACTAAGCAGATTAGCACAGGAGAGATTAAATTATATGACCTGAAGGGAGGTTTACAAACTCGAAGCAATTAAATCAGCTTTTTATCTGATTTTCATTTATGTTGGATCTCAATATTTGAAGCTGTTGAGTGGGATCTTACTAGTATACATTTAATCTTGATTCAGATTTATAATGTTGGTGTTATTCTTTTAAAATGAAGAATCTTAAGATAATGTGGCATTGAAGATTGAGAATACCTTGGAGTGTTCTCAACATGCATTTTTGTTTTTATTCTTGATAATACATAGAGCATTCTGATTTAGCCACATAAGAGAAGTTTCATCTTGAAGTTAGAAATATTATAAGAATTTCAAATATTACAAGAATTCTTGAAATAAACTAAACTCAAGGAATAAGAAGAAAGTTGATATACATACTGTCTCAGTTACTTTTCTCTTGTTGCTGGGACAAAATACCCAACACCCAAAATTAAGGAAGGAAAGGTTTATTTAACTTACAGTTAGTGGAGGTGTTAGTCTATACTAGGCTGGCTTCAAGGCAGAGTGGCACATGGCAGAGGGCTGCAGTGCATAGCCACTGAAAACAGCAAAGAACAAAGGGAGGAGCAGCAGCTGTGGCAGCTGGCAAGCCCCTCCCCCTCGTTTCATTGTGTTCAGGCTGTCCACCCCAGGATGGGTGTAGCAGTCACACCCATAATCCCAGCATTGGATCTTGGATTAATCACTCTGAAAGTCTGCCCCAATGACTGCATGAGGCTTCTGCTCAGACAACTAGACAAAAACGTTATGGTATATGTTATGATATATTTTGCTGAAATATTTTGTATTTCAGTACCTTGGAGTACCTTCAAAGAATATGAAATCGTCTGAGCAGAAAGTCTTCAGCTGAACTTCCACCTTTTGAATTTAAATATTTTAAGAAATACATTGCTTGAAAACTTGCTTATTCTAGATTTTAAATGCTTTAAAGATTGAATTCATTAGTCCTGGTGTTTTTGAAGTGGTAGACATGAGATTTGAGCCTGGGTCTTCCACCTTTAAGTCCTTAATTCAGTTGCAGATATTTTTGGTCAGGATAAATAAGATTTATTTTGATGGTAGTAAACATAGGTATACTTTTAGTGTTTATTTTCAAGACTAGATTATGTTCCAGTTAATGAAAATTTATTCACTTTTGAAATTTCTATGGCTATGGTGATGTCTATGTAGGTTTCTTTTAGAATTCCCTGATTGTTTATCTTAAGTGTTTGATCATTTCTTTGGGGTAAATCTTGGATATTGATGACTTTGACTTTCTCCACAGAGTTACAGTGAATGGTTACATGGATTTGAAAAGAAAGCAAAAGAATGTATAGTTGGAGCTTCAGATTCAGAAGCAGTTAAGGTTAGTTCAAGAAATGAACTGTCTATTTTAATGAAACCTGGGAAAAAGGAGCAATTCAGAAATTATTTTCATATGTTCTGAAGAGATAAAGGATCTTTTTTTAGGAGGATTATAATCTTGAGAAAACTATAAGGAAGTGATCATTTTTTGTACATTTAATGTCTTTTTTGCATTTGATTTATGTACAAAGCTAATGTTTTTTCTTTAATTCTGTATCTTAGTGATTTCTAAGACTGAGTGTGTTACTCTTTATGCTTTCTGTTTTTTAGCCTGTTTAATTATTTATTCATTTATTAGGACATGTTTGCAGTGGATGAAGTTCACAGTCATCTTGGGGAATGGTTACATGTACCTACTACATCTTGTTTCTTTATCTTTTAAACCCCCCCTTCCAATTCTCCGTCCCATTTTTTCATTCAAGAATAGAATGCGTCACAAATTTGTATATTGTCCTTGCAGAGAGAGCATGCTAATCTTCGCTGTATGGTTCCAATTTTAGTATGTGCTACCAAAGCAAGGACTAGCAGTTTAAAAAGTAAAGTCAGTGAGCTAGGTAGAGTATCCCAGTTTGCTCATGTTGCCCCAAATCAATAATTAGTATCAGAAACTAGCATGGTTTTTGTCTTTGACTTCTGAAATTAATTAAGAGATTATTGCTATTCTCTTGTACCCTAAGTGGCAGTAGGCATTGTGACCTTCACATGTGTTTCTGCTTTGATTTTACCACCTGCTAAGGAAAAACAAGCCTGTTTATTATAAAATTATGTAGG